TGGCACTAGATTTACAGCTTTCATTGTTCAGAAGCAGAGAAAGGAAACCAGGAGAAAACAAACTGCACGGGGGGGGGGGGTGGTTTTTCACCTCAGTTACTGCTTGCCACTTGCCTGAAAACTCTGCATTCTCATTCTCCATTTCAGAATTATATTCTTCCACAAGAGCGCCACAGTCTGTTGACACACACTTCTTTTTCGCACGTACGGTCTCTGCATTTTAAGGCTTGCTTGAAATGAAAAAGAAGCCCATGAAGAAATCTTAACATCAAGCAAGCTGTAGTGGGAGGCGCAGGTTAAACATTACAACTTCCCTCCTTTCCTTGCTTATTGGCTAATGCTCTGCACATCTATTTATTTCCTAAACAGATCAATATAGGTTAAAGCCATGCAGGATTTTGGCTCGGGATTCCTTCCGCAGAGTATCTGAGCATGTCTTTTTTTTCTTAGCTAGATACAATAGAATAGACAAACACAAAATGATCAAATCTCTGTATGGTATTCCCATCTACTTCACAACACCTAGTCGCATTTCCAGGTGTCGAGGTCGAGATCCGTGTTAACAATGTGAAAGCAAAATATCCATGATCTTTAGACCACTCCAATGAAATAAAATCACAGTGTTCGAAGAAACTTCGGTAAACATCTTCCTTTTAACATAGTGTAATCTGACAGAGTTTTATTCAGAAGCAGGATACACTTCAACAAGATACAGTCCAGGCAAGGCATATGCAAATTGGATTGAGTTGAATTTAGTTTTCAATGAGTTAAATTGCATAATGTTTGAAATCTAAATAGTATTCTGCGCAACTAGATTGTTTTAAGGCACAAACGAAAAGCAAAATACCCCAAAGCTGATTCAGCATCAGTTATTTTATATATGAAGATAGATAGATAGATAGATAGATAGATAGATAGATAGATAGATAGATAGATAGATAGATAGATATACAGAAATCCTTACCTTAAGCAAGCAATTTGAGCAAGAAACGGAGAAAAGGAATTAAAGACAGCTATATAATCAAAACAATGTCCATTTGGAATGTGATTTTTTTGTATATAAAAAAAGTCTACAACAGCTCTTTCTATTTTTTCATGCCTTCATTCCTTCAGTTCATTAACTCAGCCAAAAAAGCCACAGTCTTTCACAACTACTTTGGTGTTCTTATTTTCCAGGGTTTTCCCTCCTCCCATTTCCCCCCCCCCCAGAACAGCTGAACAGATTTCTTTGTTTTGAAGGTTTCATCAATGTTCATACAGCTGTATCTCTGAAAAGGAACCTAACTTATATTTCAGAGTTTGAGAGAGTCAAACAACTTAAAATTTATAAAACTTTTCTGCACCTACAGTAGCTGAACAATATGGATTTCTTTAAAAAAAATAGAAATCTGGAATATAGATCAGATGTGTAGGCTACCAAATGGGGTGTGACCCTTTATTAACTTTGGAGGTTCAGCTCTACTTCTAGGTAGAGCAGTGTTTCTCAAACTTGGCAACTTTAAGATGTGTGGACTTCAACTCCCAGAATTGAAGGCCTACCATTAGGTAGAAAAGTGTTGCTTAAACTTGGTCATTGGGGAATTCTGGGAGTTGAAGTCCACACATCTTAAAGTTGCCAAGTTTGGGAAACACTGAGGTAGAGTGAACATCAGCATAACCCAGCAGGTGCTGAAGGGAAATTGAGGTGTCTTCTGGGCTTCCTCTTGAGCTATTCTGGTTTTCCAGGGTCCTTGTGGCAAGGATTCTTGAGTGGCGTTAGCCTTGTCCAACAAGTTGTCTCAGCTATTTATGTTCTCTCAATGTTTCACAACGGACAGAAATGATCAGTCAGGAAGAGGTATAACATTTTGTGATACACACTCCCACTAGATTTGTGTGTCTTACTGCATTTGCTTAAACAAACAGTAAGGTGTATTTGGGCATGGCAATGAGAAAATGGAGGAACCTCTGTGTGTGCCATGCAATTTACTATAGACCAGCAAAGTTGGCTGTTGCCTTAGGTCTGTATTATTGGCCAGAGTTGAAGAAAAAGTCAGCTGCTCAGATTCTGTGTGTGAAATTGGCAAATATCACAGTGTTGTTTGCTGGAATATTTTGACCTGGCCTTGCGGTGCAGTGTTTATTTCAACAACTTTGAAATATTGTTGAAAAATACAACAAAATCAACAAGACCTTCAGGAACATGGATTAGCTGATCGGTAATGTAGTTTGAAATTCTATCACACATTCATGGGGAATAAAACTTTGTTCCAGTGATAATGAAAAACTGATTTCTGATCATTAGTGGGTTATTCTGCAGACATAAATCTAACTGGTCCCCAGTCTATCCACAAACTCCAATAGATTTCTCATTATTCTAAGGGGTTCCTCTTATTATACTGTTTTTGCATTCAGGACCACATCTACTCTCAATAACTTCCAGGATTAGATTTCTGGCAGAACAAATAGTTTTGTGTTTGCCTATACATTATTAAAATTACAATGGTAGGTGAATATCATACAGGGCAGAGGCCTCCACAGGGGACTTCAAATGATGAAAGCAGTATTGTACCATTGCACTGGTCCACCCGTTTTGTTGTCACATCATCACACTTAAGTATGAAAGGGTTGGAACTTGCATTGCAAGACTGCTTTTGTCGTTTTGATGAAAGCATCAGGTCCTGCACACACCTCTGATGCCAGTAGACTTGCAAGGGCAACCTGATGCATATCTACTCTAATTAAGTGTCCCTAGGGCTGAGCAAGATAGCTTAGCTTTGCCCTGGTGAGATGTCTTATATGACATGGGTAAGGGAGGTTTCTTCAAGGTGGTGTGTCAGAAAACCATGAAGGCTCTACCAGGAGTTCCAACAGCTGATTGGCATAACTGGAAGAGCATGATGGGAGTATAGAAACCTCTTCCTGTTATGGAACTGCTAGGGCAATGTCAACAGAGAGTTGAAGAAAAACAAGGCAGACACTTCACTTCAGTTTTAGGATTGAGTGAGTTTTGTTTCATGAAGCAGATTTAAAGAGGCACTTTGCTTAAGTATGTGTTGAAGTGTTCAAAAACCCACACAGCCCTAGTAGCTTCTTATTTACTTTTGTTTCATTGCAAAATAGTTTACAAAAAAAAACAACTGAAGAATTTGGGATGAAATCCTATGGTATAACAACTAGGAATAACTGCAAGTGCAACTACAATCAGCTTAGGAGTAACCCCACATGCATGAGGAATAAGTTCATCAGGGGGGTCACAATAAAATGATGAGGTAGTTGCACCACTTCCTTGGGCATGTCCTAGGCACATTCATCCCTGGACTAAGGGAGGGACCTGAAATAATGCAAAATGAGGCTGGATGGAGACTCACTTCTAAGGGCTCAGTCACCTGCCCAGTCACCCAGTCACCAGAAGGGCAGACAATGGCTTCTGGAGCACAGAGATAAACAGTATGGGGAATGGATAAAGGCAGATAGCCTGTGTGGGGAGTTGTGGGAGAGGAAAGGAAGGATACCTGAGGGAATGGAGCAATAACAGTCCCTGGAGTTTCAGTTGGTGAGTTAGGATCATCCCATCTGTTTGGCCAGCCAACCCCAAGGAGTTCTATTTTTGGAGAAGGACCTTAAGATTTGATCTGACTAGGAAACGTATATGGCCACCATCTTACCCTACCTAACTCTGGGCAGCTCACAACAATAAAAACATGTAACAAACCATTAAAAAAAGACCAACATCCCAAAAACAGTATCCAGCCTCGCCTAATCACAATGATCTCAAGATGCAAACTGCTACTTTTTCTGCTCTCTCTTTCTCTGACATGCATTCCTGAGCCTTGATTCTGTAGGAATTGCCCCTGGAACCTCTGCCTCCTGCTGGATCTGGGATTTATTCAGTTGGAGGAATAGGCAGGACTGTCCTTTTCCTCCAGACCTGAAAGAAAGGAGCAGTGGTCTGGATCACCTCCTCCAGATGGCGTATCCAAGTGGAATTGCAGCAACAGGGTACAGTTGCTAGTTTGCTCCCACCTTGTGAGGTTACTCCAAAGCATTTTGAAGTTGGCTGTGTGCTCATCTTTGTTCCTGATGGATGGCAAATCTGGGGCAAAAAAATATTTCTTCATTCTGCTCTATGCTGACAGGAGGAAAAATGCTGCTTCCCTCACCATTTTCAATAGTATATCGCAGTGGGTGAAAATCACAACAAAACTTAGTTGTTTATAAGTGTACAGTGTAGAAAATACACTGTGGGGGTAAATATGGTATATATAGCTGGGAAAATCAACCCAGGTAGTTTTTAACTGCACTGATCAAAAGAATTAAGATCAGGATTGCTGATAAAATTAACCATGAAATCTACTAGAGAGCTCAAAGTTCAAGTAGTAAGAGGTGGGGTGAAGAAAAATTCTTATGAATGGGCTCATCCTTGAGCTCCTGACAGGCCCAGTATTGTATCTTGCAAAATTGGTAACTTTAGTAATTTATGTTGAGTCAGAACATCTCCGACATTCCTTTTCAACTATGCAATCCCTAAGAACCAAAAGTTCTTCCAGGATTTTCAAAACAAATTATGGAATAGGATTGTGGACTTCAAAACCCCTGAAAACCACCAAATTCTTACTTTTATAATAGCACCTGAATGGGTATTGCCTTACATTTTTAAGAGAAGTTTAAATGGTCCAAAGTGTAATAAATGCCTGTTTTTACTGTCTGTTGCTAGCCATAATTCCTGCCCATTCACCTTTTTTAATCTGCCAGGATTTGGCCAAATGTTTTGCTCTAACAAGGCAATAGATTTGATTCAGATTCAAAGCACAGCAATGGGGGGAATGTAGAGGGATTTTATTAAATGGAACAGAATTTCAAACATATGCAAAGCAAAGGTCACCTTATGTCCTTTCTGCCTGTCAAGGACCTGCAAAAACAACTAAGCTTATGTCAATAGGCAATACCAACCTATTGCAAATTGTCAGAGAAGTTGCAGAAGTAGCAGACTTTATATTTCAAGGGTGACTCAAACATTCACAGATAATGATTGTGGCTCTGAAATAATACTTGGGAGAAAGGCTAAGACAAATCCAGACAAAACACAAAAGCATGGAAACATTACACAGTCAACAAATCCATGTATTTTCAAGGTCATGTTTTTCTCAGTTAGAACACATGACCATGGAAACTGGTCCATCAAAAAGGTTGAATGAAGGAAAATTGAATTGTGATGCTGGAGAAAATTATTGATAATAATTGGACCACAAGAGCAAACTATTCAATACCAGAGGAAGACCAGGCTGTTCACTGGAAGTACTAATATATAAATACAGCTTATTTATTCTGGAGACATCATGTGAAGGCAGGAGTCACTGGAGGAGACCTTGATGCTTTGAAAAATCAAAGGCAATTGAAATTAATAAGGAAAAAGAGGCCAAGAAAAAACAAGGTCGCTAGATACTATCACAGATGACACCAGCATGTCCATTCTAGGACTCAGGTAGCTCTTGACCAACCAACCTGACAAAATGGTGTCCATCACAACAGAAAAAGTCAGAAGCAATTGAGTGGCTGAACAGCAACAAAAAAAGTTGCTAGCCACCCAGAATCACCGTGATAGGATGGGTGGCCATTTAAACTGAATAAATAAAATAAAAATAAGTATGACCCTTGACCACAGAGGAAAAAAGGACAAATGGAGGTATGACCCTTGATTTGTTGTACTTAGTCAGAAGTCACCCTCTGTAAAAATTGAATTAATTTAAGGGAAATAAATTTAAGGGAAAGAAATAGGAAGTATGGCATAACTCCAGTAATGCTTTATTCTTCAGACCAGACAACATTGAAATAGGCTACTTTCTCATAAAGTTAACTATGCATGCTCTAATTTGAATCCCATCATTCAATGTAGCAAGCACAGAAGCAAACAGTATGAGGATCTCTTCAAAGAAGGCTAAACCCAAGGGCCCAGATGGTCAGACAACAATCAGAGATTGTTCTAGCACAGGGCCTTTCTTAATTTAAG